AATATTTTCAAAACTGTCTTAAAAGTTTATAATCGATATTCATTTTTTACATTAAAATAGCATGAACTCATATAGTCCAACCTTCTGTTGTCTGTGAAAAAATCTTTGGGACAAAAGCTTGTTATGCGTGAATATATAAATACTCCTGGGAGAGAAGGAAAAGGCAAGGTGAGTGAACTCATTGGAGTGTGACTAATCTTGGATTGTCAGAGCACTAAGAGGTAACGTACATTGGACAAAGATGCTGAACTGTCATCTGATTTCTGGTAAGCATATTTTCCCCAACCTTATTGCCAAGAATGTCCTTGTAGTATGATGTGAGCAAGTAGTCTAGCTAGGCCAAATACATACAGAACACCAATTATTATTATTATAATCAAAAAGAAGCGCTAAGCCACAAGGGCTCAGAACACCAATGAACACAATACTAAATAATGCAAGTTTCCACACATCTGGCACTGTTCCCTTGGTATTTTCCCATTTCTTATGGTGTGAATGCTTATCCTGATGAACTACATACACTGTATACTAATAGAAATTAACATCCTCAATCCCTATAATTATATAATTCATCATTTGTTTAGTGTAAATGCTCCTGAGTAAATCTTAAATTACCCAAAATCTATTGTCAAGAAGTTAATGTAGTTTTTTAATCCAATATCAAGAATACAGATTTTTTTTTCGGGGGGGGGGGGGGGGGGGGCTATGCTAGTTATTACTTATGTACAATACTAGCTTATAGCTGTGCTTGGTATGACTCATTACACGAACTCATAACACATTCAAATTCAAATTTATTTATTCCTTTACGAGTAGTACATTGAGATCATGTAATATATGTATATGAAAATGGAAAAAAAAAAAAAAAGGTTGCATTGCCATCTCTCAACTGAACACATTGTAAGTTTCTCAAGGTATACAGGATAACTAAATAACTGATTTTGCCGATATTTTATGTTAAGCGTTTAGTAAATTTTTTTATTCGAATCCAAGGTAGTTTTGAATATTTTTTAGTGCTGTATCTCTGAAACCATTGCACATTTTGGCATGAAACAAAATGACATTGTACTCACAGTCATATATACATGTATTTTATGAAAAATGTTAAGTTCCCACTTTTTTAGTACAATATAAAAAATAACATTCAATTCATTGAAAAGTACCATAACTGTCACTATGCTTTGGTATATATACTGAACTTTGAGTTATATTGTATACTGTAACTTGTCTAGTGACTGCAGTAATAGCTAAATTTTATTATAAATTGTAAATAATATAATACTTTTGGAGGAAAAAATAGCTAAGTGAACTCAGATTTTGGGTATAGGATCAGCACTCACATTTTGCTGCAAATAAATAAAAACTACCTTCATAAATACATCAGATGGATGCAAAGTTGCATGCACAGGTCCTAAACTACAGTTTAGTGCCATATATGAACAATAAAATTTTCTTCCATTGCTTTCACACATACTATACACTACCTACAGTATTTTGGCTTTAAAACTTTGGGGACCTCAAAAACTTAATATATGTTAGGATCTTATGTCAAACTCTGACCCTGAGTATATATGTGATGCTTTAAGTGATGCTCTCTGCATGGTGAAACAACTTATTTGTAAAAATACTTAGGATGGTATGAAAAACTCAAATTAAGTACCTAACTTAACCTCATCACCTCTTTAATTATTCTGAAAAATTAGGTTAGTCATCCCCATCACAAAGTAAAACTTCAAATATTATACTTATTGGGAACAGTAACAAAGACAAGAACAAAGCAATAACATCATGAGTCTCCATCACTCAACTCACCCAGTCTGGACTTACCACTGTTATACTGTACTAAATTTGAAGAGATAAACTTTATTAAGTAACCCTTAAATGGTCCAAACGTATATATACGTTCACCTGCGCAGCGCCCCGAATATTTTGAAAAAAATTTTTTTTTTAATAGGAAAAAGAGCATGTGGTACCCAGGCATCCCCAATTTTTTTCATATGGTGCACACTGAGTGTGCACACCCATTCTCTCATGTCTAGGCGACTCAGGCCTATCGTGCCAATGTTGAATGAATGACAAATGAAGCGTATATATACATTTGGACCGTTTAAGGGTTAAGGCGCGATACCACTGCCATACTAAGTAGGAAAATTACGAAGACTATACAATTCTTTAGCACTAAGTGATATATAATAATAATCTACCACTATTAAATAACAATATACATTTATCTTGTAGTTATACCAAATAACAATATACGATTCTCTATCACTACTAAATGACCATATGGATATAGTGTATATAAATTATCACTGCTATATAGCATATATACTAAGGATATATAATTTCTTACCAATGCTATAGAGACTAAGTTCCCCCCGTTCCCATATGAGGTTCCTTGATGTCACTGAAGGGATTTTGATCCAAAGAATTGGATCTGCCCTTACCTGCCTCTGATCGAACCTGGATGCTGTATGACCCCCCTACAGATATAGTGTTTCCCCTGAATATAATATACTATACATGCTAAGTGCCAAAAATGTAATTTTTGTCAAATCTTCAATTAAATACATATACTAAGTACCAAAAGTGAAATTTTACTTAACAATTCTTTAACTAATCTACAGTATTATTACATTTTCCCTTCAGGGGCAGGGGCTAAGTTTTTATTAAGGCATTCTACACAATTTTAAATTTCTCCATGTTTTATATAGTATATCATGGGGAATTTAACCTAGGATAACCCAAGAATCATGTAGTGTGACTTAATTCCAGTGACTTGCTGCCCTGATGCCAGTGAAAGAAGCTTGATCCAAGCAACTGGAGCTACCCTGCCTTTCTTTGGATCAAAAATGGGTGCCAACCCCTCACAGGTGCTCCAAGACCCCTAGCCATTTAATGATTCTCAATGAAAAAAAAAAAAAAATATACTGTTGGTGTTCAGCAATAAATGCAAAACAATGGGTTAAAAGGAATTAGCTAATTTCATTAACTACAAGATGTAGTGAAACATTAACATTAAATTGTTACCTTTCTGAAAAAGCATTGGCTCTTCAGTAAAAATATTAGTACAAAATTTGAAAATTCTGTACTTGACTTTTGTTGTGAAAGTTAATATGAACTTCCAAAATTTATGGGCTCTGGGAAAAAGTTAGAGTTCAAAAACACTTGGCATTCACAAAATAATTACATTAAAAAAAATATAACTTTTTTGAAAAAAAAAAAAAAAAAAAAAAGCAACTAATGCAAAATGCTGGGGTCTTCACGAATAATTATATTTATGGGCTAAATCCTTATAGATCATACAGAGCCTGAGGACTGGAGGTAATCAGGTTTGAATCAAGAATGCACGACCAAAAGCTATTCACGAGGATCCCTCCCATGAACTATTATTTACGAGGAATCAGATATAAGGAAAACACCAGACCCACAGGAATTGTACAGACCATTGGTAATGGAAGGTAATTAGGCATGATTTAAGAAAGGGGAGGGTAGCTCCAATTCCTTGGATCAAGTCATTCAGCACCAAGGCACCCCTCTGAAGGTGGCTCTAGAATAATAATTTACGACAAATGAAAATATAAAACACAGCTACCTTATTCCCCGTTGTTGCGAGCGTTTGAGACACACCGGAGCGACCACTATATACTTCACTGCTCTAGGGTCTTTGTATTGTCTACCAACACCTCTATTTAAAGCACCACTATTTTCACAGCCACACACTTGAACAAGTCACAATCACATCGAGTGTTCCATAAAAGAAAAATTTTGTACTTGAAGATATTCTAGGAACTATATATTGCTTATTCAACGTTCATAAACGTGCGTAGGTAAATACTTTAAAACATTCAAGCATTATGATTCTAGTGTGGAGGGATGTTTGTAGTGAGTTATGGAGTTAGAAGGTTGTACTAGGATGTTGCTGGGGCCAGTGTGTGAGGCTTTGTGAGGCTCCATCAGAGGTGCTGGTGGCTAGATAAAGGCAACATGTGGGGGGATATAGCTGGCAGTAAAGTGGCCATGTCTCCCTCTCTCCTGCCTGCGTAACTACGCCCGCGCATCCCCGCCATATATCCCACCAGTAGGCCTCTAAAGGCCTAGTGTGTGTAATGTAGGAAGGTGATGATGGTGAGGGGCTGGGGTAGGGGAGGCAAGGGGCGGGTAGGTAGTGGTTCTCCCGCGACAAAACAAAAACCCCCACTCTCAACCCTCCCAAATGGGCGCCCACAAGACCCCGCAACCCCCAGCCCCTCATAACAACTTCCATTTTCTCTTTTAAGTCGCGTTCTAAGCATGCACCAAGCAAGTAGTCCTAGTCACTGACTTACCTTAACAACGCCTTTAGCTCTCTCGATAAAATTAATGTAAATCAAACGTAACAAAGGGCATTTTAATATATTCCGTCAAAAACAAAGCAGCCAACAATGCTCCCCCTGCTGCGCGCTCGATGCTATTTTGTTGGACCTGGTCCGCGGAACAGACCACGCGCGCCATCTTCAAAATTTTTTATTTTAAGCAAAATCTTGGCAGTTTGTCCAAAATACAGTTCTTTCTATTAACCATAATCACATATACAACATAAGATGCTAACAGGTTATAAATAACAATAGGATCTACATGAAAAAATGCAGTAATTTATCTTTCATATGCTCAAGACTGCATAATCGTATTTTATCTTCTACCTATTTCATGTGGCCGGGGTTCATATCAGATATACAAAATATATAGTTATTTTTAAAACTCATGTGCTATTTTATGAATAAGCACTTGGTAAACAAATAAATATAAATAAACAATTTTGCCCTCTGAGCTTTACATACTTTACCTGGCTGTACTAAGTAGTGCCCGTAATTTTTTGTATTTTCAACTCGGAATTTAAATTAAATATTTGTTCTGAAGTTATAAAAGAGCAAAGATATTAAATATATTTAATGAAACGTAATTTATAATAATAAAGCGCAGAGTGAAGGTTATTTTACGAGAGGTTTATAGAGCAGCAGTGCGGAGTGATACACAGGGGTGAGGGAGCCACCGTGTCGTTCCGTCGTCTCCAGTGGTCAGTTTTGACGCCGGTGGCAAATATGGGTATTGGAGAGTATCCTGCTGAATACAACCGTAAAGTGCATGGGCCCTATGACCCTGCCAGGTTTTATGGCAAAGGTGAGGATTAGCCCATTGCAGCGGTGCAATTTATGAGGTTTTGGGAAGGTAAGTTTTGGGTGAGATGCTCAGACAGCATCGTCTGCCTCAGATCAGCTGATCGGAGGTAGATCAAAGATCTGCACTTAATAAATTAAGTCTGACAACTAACAAGAGGGATTTTTTGGCCAATCTTTGTGTGCTGAATCTTCCTACCTAAGCATCGGTGACAAATTTTCCCCATTCTCCTTGGGGTGCTTGTATTCCCGCTGGACATATTAAAGCCTGGGGCACCTTCGGTTAAATATAAAAAAAAAAAAAAAAGGCCGGGTTAGGTTAGCTTGTAGCATGGGTTGCGTTAATTTAAATATTCTACGATTTTGTCCTGTTACCATTCTGAGAATGTACCTTTTTATTTCAGCTGACATTCCCTTCGGTCAGGTGAAACTTGGGCAGTTGGGTGCTTGGTTAGGTCGTCGTCGAATCACTGGACTACCTGGTGCAGTCTCTCGTGCTTACTGGAGTTGGCAGCACAAGGTAAAATATTGTCCTAATGTACTATAATCAATTTCTGTAAATAATTTTTAGGCACAGGTATGCGTAAGTACAATTATCATACATGGTATAAATTACCTAGGATAACCCAAAAAAGTTAGGCGAGTCATAATTTTCATATATAAAAAGTAAACCCCGTTTGCACTGTATAATAAATAATCCTTCAATTGTTCTTCTTAATAATCAGTGCATTTACTACTGAACAAGTTATACATGTGATTGCTCCTGTTGTTTCTTTGTTATATCAACATGCTAATTGTTTGAATGTCAAGTCTGTTCTGAGTTGACTAAATTTCATTAAAGCGATTGCTTTCATGCCTAGTACACTACTAGAATAAATTTAAAGAAGTTACAATGTGTATTTTTTCAGTTGGTCAATGTTGATTTTATTCTCAGGACAAATACCCATCAGCATTACACACTATTCAAAATAAATCCATATCCATAACACAGGAAACCCTAATCTGTTGTGGAAATTGTTATTTTTGATATATTAACCATAAAAAACAAGGATGATTTAGTGAACCAGTGGCCTGGTTTGGGTTGGCTGTCACTGTTACAGCCACAACACCACCACCACACACTTTTCTTTCTCCACTTGTTCATTGAATCTTAAGAATTTATGGCCTTAACAGTAGTGTCGAGCCCCATGGTACACTGTTTTACACAATTCTGAAGAAAACTGATGTGAAAATGGTATCCTATGTACTACATTATATGCTATAATAACTATAAAAATCACAGTATATTTTGCAAAATAACTTTTTAAATTTAAGTACAAATTTAGATTTTTGAAAACCCATATATGATTGTTGCCATTTTATTTACCTAACATGCCTGTAAATAAGAGTTTTTCATGATAGATGTGTTCTTGACCCACAGTGCATAAATCAAACCCAGTATAATGTGTATAAAGGAAATGTGCCTAGACTGCAAATTCCATATTTCTTGACTGTTTAATAAAAAAGCCGAGACTACTAGATAGGCACCAAATGGGTATATACCAAAAGTAAATGAAATTGGTTAGGAGAAACTCCATACTCCTTAGAGGAAAGCTTTGGTGAATTGCCTAGTTAAATAGTGCCCCTAGTTGTATAGGGAGTTTATCTTAGTTTTAAACAGACAAATTCTGTGGCTGGACAACAACTAGAAACAGCAGTCAATTACTAAATCCAAAATTGTCCATTTGCTGACTAAATTTATAATTAAAAGGAAAATTTGTTAAATCCAGAATTGTCTCTTATTGTTAAGTCTGTTGGGGAAATTTATTTTGGACTTAATGGACAACGATCATTAAACCCAGAATTTTCCATTGCTGTTATAATGGAAAAAATCATTTGATTTAATGGACAGTTGGCTTTAATGGATACCCAGTCCCCATGTTAGTGTAATTCCTTTCCTGTTTTGTTTAAAGCAATAGTCACATACTGTATATGCAATATAAATGATATTAAAGTCAAAAGCTATATTGAAATTCTATTTTTATAATTATCATTGCTATATTCTAATTTTGCTAATTTTAGAGTTTACTGAATTTCTGAAATGCAGTCAGTTGCAGTAGCTTTCCAAATGTTTGTGTTGATCATTTCTGCTTTTTGTAAACACTTCGTTACTGATGCAGGTGAGGTGGAGGATGCCTATAACTAGAAGATAGAAATTTTGTGAAATAGAAAAGCTGAGATGATATTTTTAAATATTATATTTATACTTTTCAGTATTTTCTTCCTAAGAAGACTGGATTCGCGCCATTTGGGCAACTAATGGTGGGCTTGATGGCGTTCTTCTATGCTATCAATTATGGAAAAATAAGTAAGAATGTTGGCTAAGTATACTAATAATTTTAAAATTGTATATTTTTTTTATCAAATAATTGATTGGATGTCATGACACTTCTGGAAAGAGGGCAGTTGAATGAATGATGGTAAATGTGTATTCTGTGGGTTGCAGGAAAGATCTATAAAATGCACAGTATTAAGCCATTTATCTGCCACTTTAAATGTTTACAAAGAAACTCATGAATGAACTCTGATGATTGTCTACAAAATAAACCAATGTTTTAGGCAGATATGTTTAAACTGTGTAGACAGTAAATTCTATGTAGGAAGAAATTTAACTGGGGAATGTGTTAAGGGTAATGCGAATGTTGCCCCGTATTCAATAAATTGTGTTGAATGCACGTAAAGATTAAAGAGGAACTTGTCATGTTCGTAGTAATACAGAGAAATTAACTAATTACCATTGAGTAAGTCAAGAAAATGTCCTTTGGCTTTTCATATCATTACTGTACCCCTTTTCCCTTGTGATTTTAAATATCTGACCACTTCTTACATTCACATAGTTGCATTTTAGCTGTACTGAGTAAGTAAATTGTCATTAATTCCCTTTTCAAAATTGTTTGCATTCTGCATATTACTGCTTTGGTTCCTGTTTACACCAGGTCTGTTCACCTTGACCTTTTCTTGTGTACCTGTGGGTACAGGTACATTTGCATTTACTGTACATACGTCAGTATTGTTGGAGTGTGAGCAGGGTAATATTTTGTGAAGGGATTCAGGGAAACTGGTTAGCTGTATTTGATTGAACCCTGGAGTTGGGAAGTACAATGGCTGCACTTTAAAGGAGGGGTTTGGGATATTGGCTGTTTGGAGTGACATTTAAACTGTCTTATCCGAGTGCCTCTACAAAGACGGTGATTATGTATGAACGATGATGAAAGTTTTTACGTTTGGGCCACCCTACCTCGGTGGGAAATGGCCGACGTGTTAAAAAAAAAATCAATATTAGCTATATTACTTTGTCACATTTTTATTAGAAGTTAATATAAAACTAATTTTAAAAAAAATTTAAAGTGGAAGGGTGAAAATAATGCTCCTTAGCACCTGCACTAGCATAGGGTAAAGTGTTTTACCTGGAGAGAGTTCCGGGGGTCAACGCCCCCGCGGCCTGGTCTGTGACCAGGCCTCCTATACGTAGTTTTATTCCAGTCTCGGGAACCAACTTCTGCGATAAAATTCTTTTAATGTCTGCTCAAACATTTTGATTGAAGCCAATTTATATATTCAAATTCAAAGTTTATTCTCTATAAGGATTACAATGTTGAATTTACAGAATTTGGTTATTGTGTGGTTTACATGTAGTTAAATAATGATTACAGAGTGTACCACTAGAACGCTTAGCATGGCTAGGCATTTCGGGCAGACTTAGTTTAATTCTTTATTTCAAAATATTACAAATTATGAGGTAAGTTGGTATTATGGCTAAGTGACTAAATACTAGTTTGTGAGTTTAGCAATGTGAATGCTTTTGTTTTGGCACAGCACATAGTTTCAGTATTGGAGTATCATAGGATTCATTATTTTAAGATTGAGATTAATATTTCTGTTTATGGTCAAATGGGTGAGTGAGTGTAAGTGTGAACCACTAGGTGGTATTCGTGGAGTTAGTTGATGGGGTGTATCAGGGAGATAAGATGTTTTCTAATGGTAGTTTTAAAGGTGATGAATGTGTCTGCAGTTCTAGAGTTCTCAGGTAGGGTGTTCCAGATTTTAGGGCCTTTGACATACATTGAATTTTTTTAAAGGTTTAGTCGGACACGGGGAATGTCGTAGAGATGTTTGTGTCTGGTGTTATGCCTGTGGGTTCTGTCACAACTATCAAGAAAGCATTTTAGATCAAGGTTGATATTGGAGTTTAAGGTCCTGTAGATGTAGATTGCACAGTAGTAAGTGTGGATGTACTGAACAGGGAGTAAGTTTAGATCTATGAAGAGTGGGGGGGTGTGTTGCCAGGGATGGGATTTAGTGATTATTCTTATTGCAGCTTTTTGTTGGGTTATTATTGGCTTTAGGTGTGTTGCTGCAGTTGATCCCCAAACACAAATATCATAGGTGAGGTATGGATAAATAAGTGAGTGGTATAGTGTGAGAAGGGCATTTTGCGGCACGTACTATCGTATATTGGAGAGGATCCCAACCGTTTTGGATACTTTTTTGGTTATGTGTTGGATATGGGTGCTGAAATTCAGGTTGTTGTCAAGGTATAGGCCTAGGAATTTGCCCTCATTATGTCTGGTAATTAGAGTGTTGTCGATCTTAATGTTAATTTGTGCATCTCCTGCTCTGCTACCAAACATAATATAGTAGGTTTTGTCAGTGTTAAGCGTAAGTTTATTGGCTGTCATCCAAGTCGATATTTTGATCAGCTCCTCGTTAACAAGGGTGTTGAGGGTGGCAAGATTAGGGTGAGAGATGACATAAGTCGTGTCGTCAGCAAAGAGAATGGGTTTCAGGTGTTGGGATACGTTTGGAAGATCATTGATGTATATGAGGAAGAGCAGGGGACCAAGGACACTTCCCTGCGGAACTCCAGTATCAAGTGGCCGTGTTGTTGATGCTGCGTCTTTAATGGTGACGTACTGATACCTATTAGTAAGGTAAGATTTGAAATAAGCAAGCGCATGGCCTCTTATACCGTAATGGTCAAGTTTGTGGAGTAGGATGTCGTGGTCTACTGTGTCAAAAGCTTTTCTTAGGTCAATAAAAATTCATAGTGGATATTCCTTATTTTCCAATTCTGTGTAAAGCAGATCTAGCATTTTTATGATTGCATCATTAGTGCTTTTATTTTTCCTGAATCCAAATTGGCAGGGGTTGAGTATGTTTTGTGCTGTTATAAATGAATATAGTCTCCTGTGCACGAGTTTCTCAAAGATTTTGGATAGCAATGGTAAGTTTGATATTGGCCTATAGTTGTTTAAGTCTGTAGGGTCACCACCTTTATGTATTGGTGTAACCCTTGCCATCTTGAGTAGTTTCGGGAAGGTGCTAGTTTCTAGTGACTTGTTAAAAAGTAATGAAATAGCATGCGAAAGGATATGGGCCGCTCGCTTGTACAGTAATGGTGGGACATGAGACAGATTCCCTGAGTTATTTTTAAGTGACTTTATAATCTTGGTGACTTCCGAGGGCTCAGTTGGTGCAAGATAGAAGGAATTTGGGAAATTCCCATCTAGGTAGTCCCCGGCATGGGCATTGGTATGTGGGATTTTATTTGCGAGATTAGATCCTATGGTTGAGAAGTCGTTTATCTTGTTAGCTGTGTCAGTGGGATGTAGTGGTGTTTCATTAGGTTTAGTTAGGACAATATTCTTGGTTTTTTTCCAGTTTGTGGGTCCCTAGAATCTGAGTGTGTTTTCCAGGTCTTTTTTATATCTCCTCTAGTGTCTGTGAATCTACTGTAGTAGTATAGTTGTTTGGCTTTCTTTATTACGAACTGATGAATAGTGTTTAAGAATATCTTTGTGTATTAAGCCCTGTCTATATTGCTTTTCATATTGGTGTTTCTTGTCAATGGATTTCAGAATGGTGCTGGTTAGCCATGGGCAACCAAGCCGTTTGTTTGTGATCTGTTTCGTTTTTATAGGACAATGTTTGTTGTATAGTCTAAGTAATTTGTTAAGAAAAATGTCTGTCCAGTCATCAATACTATTGGCCTTGGAGAATTCTGTAGGCCAGTCAACAGCCTCTAGGTCAGCTGTGAACTTCCTTATTGAGGCCTCGTCATGGAGTCTAAATGAGACTTTGTTGTATTCAAGTGGTGGTTTACTAATGTTTATCAGGAGGAAGGTTGGGTAGTGGTCTGTAGTGCTATCTGTGATTATCCCTGATTTAAGGGGGGCTAGTATATTGGTCCATATGTGGTCTATTATGGTTGCACTTGTCTCAGTGAGCCTGGTTGGTTTAGTTATTGTTGGTATGAGAAGTGTGTTGTTCATATTGTTGATGAAATCAGTTACAGGCTGATCATCTAGTAAGCCAAGGTTGATGTTGAAGTCTTCCAGCTAAGAGAAGGTGGTGCTTATTCATTTGTCTGTTTGTTATTAGTGACTTTAATTTCTCCTGAAATTTGGGATGTTTGTGTGAGGTATATATAACTAAGATGTACTCTGAATTTAAATGAACATATACTTCAGTTAAAGGTGATTTTTTGTTTGCAGTTCACCATAGGAACCACAAATATCACTGGTGAATGCTGTGCTGAGTTGTCACAAGTGTGTAGCTGTATCACAAGAAGTTCACCATTACTAAAAGGACACTGAAGACTCAAAGTTAAGCTAATAATTCCTCGATACTTACCAGGGGTAGCAGAGACTGCATAAAAATTTATTAAGATTTATTTAGCGTGTTTAAATCTAGTGTGATGCTCAACTGTGGTACTAGTAAGTACTTGTGTACAGCAGGAAATTAGTGGGTGTATAAAAATGTATATCAATTCTGGTGACTTTTATGTATAAAATAAAGTTATGTCCAAAGTACAGTATTTTATTACATGACCTACTTTACTCCTGATATTGACAACTACAAAAACTATGCTGCTAAACATTGCTCAATTTCTTGTGTAAGTTATCACTGATGTTCCACATTCCCATTTGGAAGAAAGCATTTATATACAGTACGTTAAAAATGTCTTTAATCAGTGTATGAGAACCATAAATTGTTATTTTCCCAAATTCTGAAGCCTTCTGGAGAACAGTTTATGACCTGGTGAATGACCCTTATAGGTTCAGCATTTTTTTATTTCTGGCCAGTAGAATAATATCTTTTTAACGTTATATAAAGGAAGTTCCAGTGTATATTATGAAACTAATTACAAGTTAAGACTTTCACTTGTGTTCAAGACATCCACAAAATTGACACATCTGCAGAACATTAACGTCTAATAACTTCAGGAGGAATGTATCCTTCATCGACCTTCTTGGGCTTTTTCTTCTTGTAAGTAGTCGATAGTCCTTTTGGATAGAACCTGTGAATATAATTAACATTACTGATACTATGCAGTATTATAAATAAATTGTGTAATTAAAAATTTATTAACTCACTGGATGTTTCTCACCAAGGAAAGATGACCCAAAGAGCAAAGCTGTTTTGTAAGAAAAAATAAATAATTATAGGTAAAGGGGTAAGTAATCCCCTTAACAGTAATGTTGGCCTTATAGCTATTCTCCCCTTGAATGAAACTGGATTACTTTTCATTTCACAGATACTTTATGACCTCTGGATTTAGCACTTCTTCCAATATTATAATTAGGAAGCTCTAAACCCCCAAGTAATATGGGGTAATCAAGTTTGATCCAAATAAAGGAAACATAACTCCAATTCCACAGACGAAGACCCCTCACTGGTACAAAGGCACTTTCCTTGAAGGGCCATGAATATAAAAATAGCAGTCTTCTGACATGCATGTCTTAAAGGGAAAGGACTCTTAACCTGCTTCCCCACCGAGAATACTTAAAAAAAACTTTAATTTTAATCTTCTTTTTATACTTCAGTTTTTTTTTTTTTTTTTTTTATAAAATCTATTTCCTATTTTTTGTAAACATGCACATAAATTATAACTGATGGTCTAACCATGAAGCAAATTTCTTTCATATGCTCATGACTGCAAGTGTTGTATATTGTATACATTTCTAGATTTAAATAAAAGACCTAAAAAAGTATCTTACTTTTTACGCTTAGCAGGTAATAGCATTTCTAATTTCTCTCTATTGTCGAAGAAGAAAATGACTTCCTCCCGTGCAGCCAAGTCTTTCTTTTTAGCGTCTATCTCGGCCAACATCTTCTGCTTCTTGTACTCTTCCAGCTGGGCTTGGAATTCATTTTCTCTCTCTTTCTCCCAAGAAATGAAAGCAGCTTTCTGCATGGTGAGAAAAGCTATTATAATAAAAATAAAATATTACTGGTATCAACATCATATTATTTAAAGGATGTGTTGAACCCATATAGAGCCTGGGAAATAAGACAATTGGGTCTGATCCAAGGAAGGGCATGGCAAGTCCAATTCCTTGGATCAAGAGCTCTTTACCAGCATCAAGGAACCTCCTTGAGGGGGAAAACAAAAAAGGAACCACTTTACTAGCCTAGAATAAATGGCAGTAATTATAGTCGTCAGTAAAGGAGAAAAATTTACTTACCTGCTTGTACTTCAACTACAGCCTAGCAGTTGAAATTTGCCACCTCTGAACATATTTTCTTCCCAATGGAATACTTTGTTAATACTGTATCCAACTGCAAGTTTAGTCTTCTACACTGTGCTGTACGACCCTTGTAGGTTTAGCGCTTCTTTTTTATAATAATACAGCGGTGCCTTGACTTGCGAGTTTAATTTGTTCCATGACCCAGCTCATAACTCAATTTGCCTGTATATCTAATCAATTTTCCTCACTGAAATTAACTGAAATGCCATTAATCTGTTCCAGCGGAATTCTTGCTCTTGGGAGACAGGAGAAAATACGTACTTCAATATAATGCTAATATCAACTCGACGGCTTATTTATCTATCACAATTGATCTAATCTGACATAATAAATAATATTTATAACATAGGAACATGATATATATTCAAGAATGAATAAAAGATCTCATTATGTGACGAATGGTGGCGGCCACTCCTGAGGTAAAAATAATTATTGCTCTGACCATATCTTCCCATTCTTGCCTTTCTGAGGTCTTATTATAAGAGAAAACGGAGTGTTTATGAGGCTAACTGCACTAGATCAATAGTTTCATACGAAAAACACTTGAAACAAAAGCGATTTTCTCAGAATTTTTTTTTTTTTCCCCAAGTCAGGAGACCAGCCTATGTTTTGGGTGAATATCTCTGAAGTAAATCTGCGTAAATGCCTCGTGTCCTTTTGCAGAGAAGGCACGAGGCACGAAGTACATACTACGCTTGTACTGCCTTGCCAAGTCGACTACAGCACACCTCGCTCGTGCTTTTCTGTAATTTCATGCTTTAATTCAATGGACATCATCCTCTTCTTCTCAGTACTGTCCTTTGCACAAAATCCAAAACAACACCAGAGATGCTACCACGACGAGGTAACCATGTGCACTGCTGTGGCGTTCACTGTGCCAACTAGTGGCAATGTATCTGAAGCTTTCTCATAACTCGGATTTTGGCTCGCAATTCAAAGCAAAAAATCGATTGAGCGATGGCTCGTAAATTGGAAAACTCATAAGTTGGGCACTCGTAAGTCAAGGTATCACTGTAATTAGTCATTTAGTATTTTTTTTATATTTAATGTATTTTGGTCATCCACAAAACCTGACACGAAGTGATATTGATGGTCTCATTTTAAATGTTATCACAGTCTACTGATGTTTTCTGACCATGGCCATATTAGATACACGTACAAAGGTATGGTTGCCAGACGTCTAGTCTCCATGAAAAAAAAAATCTTTGGCATGAAATTAAAAAAATAAAGCTAGCAGATGATCGTGTACCAAGTTGAAATGATTAACCCTTTGAGGTGAGTTCCATTGTTCTACAGCTTTGAAGCCCAGGGCAGTCCCACAGTTCTACACCATGAACTCAGCTCACTTATATTGTGAGCAGTAAATTTGGGCCTAGATATGAGAGAATGGGTCTATGTGGCAAGTGTGCATCACTTAAAAATATCCTACAGTAAGCAGTGTATAATGGGAAAAAAACTGAAATCATGTTTTTGGTTCAACCCTTTCAGGGTCCAAAGGCCAAATCTCAGAGTGACAGCCAAGGTCAAAGAATTTTCAAAAAAAAATTTTGTTATTTTTTCTTATGAAATGGTAGAAAACCTTTTTCTGAAGGTAATAAAGGAAAAAGTACAAAAGTTGATGGAAAACTGTCAAATTTTGATGCATCAGCGATACTTATGCATCAGCGATTTTGCCGACTTTGACTCCCATTGTAGGCCAATTACATTATTCCAGTCGACCAAATTCTTAGCTATTTTGCTATTATTACTTCTACTTTATGGATTGAGACAAGAAATCGCCCAGTTAACTGTTTCAACTACCCAATAAAGTGATCGGAAATTGGTAATTTGGCCAATTTAACACAAAGTTCAAAATATTCCAATTTCAAAATAGGGTCCAGGATAAACAATGCAGGCATTCCTGGCACTAAACTAACATTTCCTCTTCATTAGTTACGTTTTCAGGCTTTACAAATGAATTCCATTTTGATTTTTTATTCACATAATGAATTTTTATTCACACCAAAAAATCGAAGATTTACTGTAATTACAGTGTTCTAATAATTGTATTAATAATATCAGCACATTCGTGAACATATATTAGACCCACCAACTGATGCGTATTAGAATCATGACGATATTTGTTTACTCTTGAACATTGGCAAAAACTGAAGATTTCCACTATTTTGCGCTCATTTTCAAGCCATTTTCAGTAGTTAAACAAATCAAAATCATCTCTATTTCTGTAATATATATGCCATTCTATCAAATGAGACCAAGAAATCGTGAATACATCTGTAAAAAACATAGGAAAAAACACTGCAAAGTCACTGTTTTAATCCAAAATTACAGTCAGTTTTTTTCTCTCATTATGCACTGCGTGCTGCAGGATTTGGTTTATGTGGTGCACACTTACCACAAAGATGTGTTCTCTCATATCTAGGCCCAAATTTAACATTCACAGGTTATCTGAGTGAGCTGAGCTCATGGCGTAGATCTACAGTTTAGATCCTTGCTTCAAAGCCATAGATCTACGGGTTTTACCCTGAAAGAGTTAAAACAACGACCTTGCGGTGTATTTTCGCATGGTTTTTATTGTTGTATTCTTGGTTTCTTGGTCTCAAATGACAGATTGGAAGATATATTACAAAAGTAGAGATTATTTTCATTGGTTTCAGGAGTGAAAGTACATACCTTGAAATTGAGCTCAAAGCAGAAATGTTCGATTTTTGCTGATATTCCAGAATTACGTCACTTGTCCAATACGAGTTCAACTGGTCGGTTTTGTGTCCACAAATGCACTAACATTATTTATACAATTATTACAATAATGCAGCAGCCTGCATAACAGAAAATCTTTTACTTTTTGTGTGAATAAAAATTCAAAATGGAAAGCAAGCATAATATAGGAGAGGCCTGAGGAATAGACAAATGAACAGAGGACATGTTTTAGTGTCAGGAATGTCTACACTATTTATTCTGGACCCTATTTTGAAATTGGCAATTTTTAATTTTGTTTGAAGGTTGGAAGGAAGGGGTAAAGGAGGTTTTGTGTGGGAGAGGCTTGGACTTCCAGCAAGCATGCATGAGTGCGTTAGATAGGAGCGAATGGAGACAAATGGTTTTTAGGACTTGACGTGCTGTTGGAGTGTGAGCAGGGTAACATTTATGAAGGGAGTCATGGGAAACTGCCAGGCAGGACTTGAGTCCTGGAGATGGGAAGTACAGTGCCTGCACTCTTAAGGAGGGGTGTTAATGTTGCAGTTTTATAACTGTAGCATAAGCACATCTCTGGCAAGACAGTTGGAGTGAATGATGGTGAAAGTTTTTCTCTTTCAGGCCACCCTACCTTTGGTGGGAAATGGCCGATGTGTTAATAAAAAAAAAATGATATTACTTGTCTCCTTTACCCATAAAGGTGCATCACAAGGTCACACCTTGGACTTTCTGGTAGTCCCACTTTATATCAATGACCTAACATATATCATCTTAGAAACTCAAATCAGTGTAATTTGCAGATTATCTCGTTTGTCTTCTCAAACCCAGACCTGACTGTCCTATATAACATAGTAAAAGAGGAACTCAAAAATCTCTTCACTAGGATGACAACCAACAAGCTCACTCACAAAATAAAAGACAGCTAATTTTTAAGCATAGAATTAAAATCATTACTCATCAAGATTTCAGGACACTTAGTATAGGTTTACAGGTGTCTCAATAGATGTCTTTTATAATACTATAAAGTCATACATACATACTGCAGATATTTTATGTACATTTTTTTTTTTACACTCTGATTGTCTCCCACCAAGACAGGGTGCCCCAAAAATGAAACACTTTCACCATCATTTACACTACCCATATCTTGCTTATGAAATTAATTTCTTTACACTTATGAGAGTAAAACTTAGCTTCTGTGATTTTTTTTACTGATCTAAATTCGACATACTGATACAAAAATTCTATCTTAAATTCCACTGTTCATATTCTTTCTTACCTGAGATTGTATATCATCTGATTCAGCCTCTGCAGCTGCTTTCTGCAGCATATCAGTAATAAGTGATCCCAGGTCGAGCTCAGCCACCTTAGACTCACTTGTCTCCAGCCGTGAGATGAGAGATGTCACTTTTTCTTTAGCTTCATCATCATTGCAAGCTTCACAATGATTTTTAACTTGGTTGATCTGTGAATAAAAAATAATGCTCAAATGATGAAAATGGTGTACAATACCAACAAGCAGATGAATAACGTATGTGCAACAGTTGGGTATCTAAAGATACCCAACTGTTGCACATATGTGTATGTGCACATACAAGCCTGTGTAAGTCACACATACACCCGTTGGGTATTTAAAGATACCCAACTGGTGTGTGTGTGTCTTACCCATAAATAATGTCACCATACACTACATAAAAATACATTGTTTCTTACAGTCAAGTAATCTACAGTACACACACCACAAGGAAAACTGTAGATAAGTTCTCTTAAATTTTAAATATTCTTATTCTTCTTTTAAACTCTTGTATTAGAAAAGTACATAAAAAAGAGAAAGAAAATGGGAAAGATGAAAGCAATAGCTTGGGCAACTAGGGACTGATGTGTGCTGTGGGTGAAAAAGGCATTAGTGTTAAGGTGTACACTAAATGGAATTGACCGCTTTTTAATTAACGAACATGTTGGAGTGTGAGCAAGGTAAGCTTTATGAAGATATTCAAGGGAAACCATTCAGCTGAGATGGAATCCTGGAGGTGGGAAGGGCAGTGCCTGCACTCTGATGGAGGGGTGGGGATTTTGCAGTTGGAGGGTAATTTGAGCTGTGATGACAGCACACTTCTGGAAAGACAGCAAAAGACTGAATGATGGTCGATGGAAGCTGGCCAGTGTGTTAAAAAATAATAATAAAAGGTTCTTCTTCTTTTTCAAGTCACCCTATCTCAGTGGGAAATGGCTGGTGTGTTTTAAAAAAAATAAGAAGAAATACACTTGACATTTACACAAATCTTTGAAAGATATTTCTGCATTACTTATGAAGTATTGAGGCACAGGAAATTTGTAAATTCATTTAATATTCAGTGCTTATGCTATAAGTGGGTTACAACATACGTTAACTGAGAGGAATTTAAATAAATTAAGTAGCTGTACAAAACTGAGGATGTACAAACACTGAGCTACAATTATGTAATCACATGGCATACTTTAAGTAAACATTAGCTAATTTGAAAATGAATACTGCCATAATATAAAGAAACTACAATATCATAAAAAATAGCAGATGATTACAAATAAGACTGTACATACTGCTACTTATAAAACTGCAAACTTACCACAGAAGCAGCAATTTGGTCATGTCCTTTACTAGCACGATCCAGTGCTGCTTCCAGTTCTGTCCACTTTTTGTAAAGTGACCAACCCAGAATCTCACAGCTCACACCAACTGCTCCACCAATCAAAGGGGACACCCAGGCTAATGTCTTGCCCACAATTAGGTCAGGCTCTTTCAAATCAAAGTGGTCATCAAAGTATGGGTTGCGGAGATAACGCACACGGATTTTGACCTGAAAGATAAAAACACTTAAATTATACCAGTTTTGGTGTAATTTAGAAAAGTGGCAAGAAATACCTAATATTTATTTGTGAAAGGATAGACACAGAAACCCAACCAACCATTTAATACTGTCACAATGTTTTGCAGAATGGAAAACATCTGCTGGAAGATAATGATGCCAGAGATCATACCTCTAAAGCTACATCTGTCAAAAACAGTGGAATGAGCTACAATCCCTCTCCAATGCATTTCACTTACAGTATCTGGTAAATTATGGATCAGCTGCAAAGAAGTTGACATCTGCTAAGGAATATTACAGGAGCTACAACAAACACTACATACCAGCAAAAACCTTCACTGGACCATGATAAATACTTATCGAGGCCTCATACATAGCTAAACTTTTTTAATAGTTTCATGTAGCAAATTGTGTAGAAGTGAACCTAGAATAATTCCAGTGGGGTTTTTGATACTGTCATTTCTAAATGATGTCAGGTACCAGGTACTATTACAGTACATATCAATAAATGGCAAAATAGGATGAATAGGAAGGTATATAAATCTGGGGTGGAGGGAAGAAGGGTTATGGGTCATCCCAGGAAGGGTTGGGTTGAGAAATTTTTGAATACTCACCAGGTTTGAACACTCGCCAGGCTTGTGTAAGTGTGATAGATCAGAAAAGGTGAAGGCAATTAGCTTTTGTGACCTGATATGAGCATAAAAAGTTAAAGCAGAAAATGCATGTACAATAACCCACTGCACATGCAATATATCTGAAAGGCGTAGGGAGACACTGGTCAGAGAAATAGCAAGCATCGAACTTAAGCTAAAGGAATCTTATAGGAGTCAGGAATTGCGGGAAGAACTAAAAGCCATAAATGAAATCGAAAGAAACCCAAAGTATTTCTTCTCCTATGCCAAATCAAAGTCGAGAACAACGTCCAGTATTGGGCCCCTACTTAAACAAGATGGGTCCTACACAGATGACAGCAAGGAAATGAGTGAGCTACTCAAGTCCCAATACGACTCAGTTTTTAGCAAGCTGCTAACCAGACTGAGAGTTGAAGATCAAAATGAATTTTTTATGAGAGAGCCACAGAATTGGTTAACACAAGCCTATCTGATGTTATCCTGATGCCAAATGACTTCAACAGGCGATAAATGACATGGCCCATGCACTCTGCCCCAGGGCCAGACTCATGGAACTCCGTGTTCATCAAGAACTGCAAGAAGCCTATCACAAGCTTTACCATCCTATGGAGAGGGAGCATGGACACGGGGGGGCGTCCCACAGTTACAAAAACAACAGACATAGCCCACTCCACAAAGGGGGGCAGTAAAGCAACAGCAAAGAACTACAGACCAATAGCACTAACATCCCATATCATAAAAATCTTTGAAAGGGTCCTAAGAATCAAGATCACCACCCATCTAGAAACCCATCAATTACACAACCCAGGGCAACATGGGTTTAGAACAGGTCGCTCCTGTCTGTCTCAACTATTGGATCACTACGACAAGGTCCTAGATGCACTAGAAGACAAAAAGAATGCAGATGTAATATATACAGACTTTGCAAAAGCCTTCGACAAGTGTGACCATGGCGTAATAGCGCACAAAATGCATGCTAAAGGAATAACAGGAAAAGTCGGTCGATGGATCTATAATTTCCTCACTAACAGAACACAGAGAGTAGTAGTCAACAGAGTAAAGTCCGAGGCAGCTACGGTGAAAAGCTCTATTCCACAAGGCACAGTACTCGCTCCCATCTTGTTCCTCATCCTCATATCTGACATAGACAAGGATGTCAGCCACAGCACCGTGTCTTCCTTTGCAGATGACACCCGAATCTGCATGACAGTGTCTTCCATTGCAGACACTGCAGGGCTCCAGGCGGACATCAACCAAATCTTTCAGTGGGCTGCAGAAAACAATATGAAGTTTAATGATGAGAAATTTCAATTACTCAGATATGGCAAACACGAGGAAATTAAATCGTCATCAGAGTACAAAACAAATTCTGGCCACAAAATAGAGCGAAACACCAACGTCAAAGACCTGGGAGTGATCATGTCGGAGGATCTCACCTTCAAGGACCATAACATTGTATCAATCACATCTGCTAGAAAAATGACAGGATGGATAATGAGAACCTTCAAAACTAGGGGGGATGCCAAGTCCATGATGACACTCTTCAGGGCACTTGTTTTATCTAGGCTGGAATATTGCTGCATACTAACAGCACCTTTCAAGGCAGGTGAAATTGCTGACCTAGAAAATGTACAGAGAACCTTCACGGCGTGCATAACAGAGATAAAACACCTCAATTACTGGGAGTGCTTGAGGTTCCTGAACCTGTATTCCCTGGAACGCAGGCGGGAGAGATACATGATTATGTACACCTGGAAAATCCTAGAGGGACTAGTACCGAACTTGCACACGAAAATCACTCACTACGAAAGCAAAAGACTTGGCAGACAATGCAACATCCCCCCAATGAAAAGCAGGGGTGTCACTAGCACGTTAAGAGACCATACAATAAGTGTCAGGGGCCCGAGACTGTTCAACTGCCTCCCAGCATACATAAGGGGGATTACCAACAGACCCCTGGCAGTCTTCAAGCTGGCACTGGACAAGCACCTAAAGTCGGTTCCTGACCAGCTGGGCTGTGGCTCGTACGTTGGTTTGCGTGCAGCCAACAGTAACAGCCTGGTTGATCAGGCTCTGATCCACCAGGAGGCCTGGTCACAGACCGGGCCGCGGGGGCGTTGACCTCCGGAACTCTCTCCACGTAAACTCCAGGTAAACATGGTATGCAAGAGTTTGCCTTGGCAAATGTCAAGTTAGAAAAAAACTTTGAAATAAAATGGAAAATACTATACCAGTAACTTAGAATGTATGCCTCTACAACCATAGTCTTACCTCCTCCTTGGGTTCCTCAACTTGTGGAGTATAGTTAACCCAGGGCTGGTTCTCATCTGAGGTAATGTACGAAAAGCAGGAGGCTAAAGTCAACATTTGGGTTAATAATGGACCAAAATCTTCTTGAAGCATGTTCAGTGATGCCACTCGAGCTGCAGCTGTCAAAATAAAGAGAGGACAGTTTATTGGCAGCTGATATGCCTTCATTCTGAGCACTGTTCAGTCTCCCATACACCATACTGTACTTACAATCTGGTAATTGCAGCAAATCTATATACATACTGTACTTTTTCCATAAAACAACTTTTCACAACTGAACCCTCTCACTCTTTCTGTACATTAAAATATTTTGGGTCCATCATCATTGCACGGGAATATTTTTCTTTCACATTCCTTTTCTAACAAAAATACTAATATTGTAATCATTTTTTTTTTGTATTTAATACCTACATAATGCCACAATTCTTATAAATGTCCACATTTATAATGTTACCTTTTCTCTGGTCTAAACATAAAGTCAAGACTTCATTAAAAACTGCCTTTTCTTCTACTCATTCAACATCTACAGTCTCTACAATTATTGTTAAAATTACCAACAAAATACTGTATTAGGTAAACTGACATAAGAACGTAGTAGTAGTAGTAGTAAAACTATATTTGTACTGTGGGCTTGAGGGAGAGCATCTCATGATATACTCAACTAATTATGTGTCAGGCAACAAAACAGGTGCCCATTCAACACAGACATGACACCCAGTTTCTATTACATTATGCAATTATATAATAATACTTTAAAAATGGGAAAAATGTGGCATGCAGGGTAATTTTATTTGTAAAATACTGCTGATAGCAAACCTGTGTAGTTCTTCTGCTCTAAGAAGATATCCATAAGAAGGTTAGATGTATAATAATCTGGAAATATTCCATAATTAAGAGGATCTGAGAGCATCTTGAGAAGAGTCTGGGTACAACCCCCTTCTAAAAGAATACGCAAAACAGCATGAGGTGTTGAAGGCAACATTCGGATGGTTTCTGGTGAACGACGAAGGCGATGAATTATATCTTCAAGTTCTTCAGCAAACTCTTCAACATTTGCTTTTTCTATTTTGTTCACAAACTGGAAATTTAATGAAAAGTGGTACATGCTGTATACATATACTCTTCATTTATAAAAAAAACTGTAAAATACTATTATCACAAGCACTCAATATACTTTTGAGAAAAGAGCTTAGATCTAGGTGAAAGCCCAGGTATGAAAAAGTACAGATAGACGTCCTTTGCACTAAGGAGTCAGTAGATCTATGGCAAAAAAAAAAAAATGGAAAAAAAAAATTACATACCAGTATCACTAACATCACCCATCATGAATGTCTTTGAAAAGGAAGAGAGGTGAAGGCACTAACTTATTGATGTACCATGTTAATAATTGTATGTACTCTGTATATGTACTGTCATTCTAAATAAAATATAAAAAAATAAAATAAAAAAAAACTTTATGGAAAAGCATGACCTACACAACCTAAATTTAAAACATGGATTTAGAGTGGAAAGTTCATGCTTGTCACAACTACTAGATCATTATGACAAAACTACAGAGTATGTAAAAGAAAGCCAAAATATAGATGTGGTCTACATGAACTTTGCTAAGGCAAATAAGGTTAGAGCTTTACAACTGCCTTGCACTATAACAAATATATAAATTACCTAGGATAACTCAATAAAGTCAAACAAAGTAACTTATTTCCACTGGGCATTTGAGAAATGGAATCATGGCATGATAGCCCATAAAATGTCAAATGGATTACTAGGAAAAGTAGGAAAAATGGATATTCAATTACTGTATCCAACACACACAACAAATAGTGGCAAACAAAGCAAAATCAATCCTTAGTCAAGTACAGTAAAACCTCTAATTTCAGATATAATTGACAAAATTTTGGCCAAAGGCTTGGGGATTCAGGGAAACCGGTTAGCTGGACTCGAGTCCTGGAGGTGGGAAGTACAGTGCCTGCACTCTGAAGGAGTGGTGTTGATATGTTGCAGTTTTTTAACCATAGTGTAGGCATGACTCCAGCAAGACAGATAGCACTGTGTCATCCTTTGCAGATGATACTAGAATCTGCATGGGAGTATCATCCACTGAAGACACGGCAAATCTCCAAGCAGACATAAACCAAATTTTTCAATTGGCAACAGATAACAATATGCTGTATGGTAGTATCCGGTAGAACCATCAATAAAGTGGACCAAGTTTGTTTCATCATAGGTTTGTCAGGTATAGGCCACATCCAAGACCAGTGTTTTCATTGTTCCTGGGCGAGCAGGGCCACTGGCTCATCCTGCAGTTTATCATCATCTTAATGCTCGCTCACATACTCTTGTAATTTAGTCTCCAATTCTCCCTGGCTTTACGATTTTTGTTAGTTTATTAGACTATACTGTACTGTACTTTTAACTCATTCTGAGGCAATTTATTGTATTGCTTTGTATGTACGTATTAGTTTATCATTGTCCATTCAGTCATGTCATTGATGTAGTGGGCTAAGTCCACTGCACTGGTCAGTTGTCCATGTTCAGTAGTACCATCAATTCAACAGACTTTGTTCACTGCATCAGGCATTTCAATGCAATGAATTTTCATTTAAGTGAACACCCTCTCCCCTACCTCATTAGTCCATTACACTAAGGTTTTACCATAACAAGTTCAGTACCCCAAGGCATGGTCCTAGTGCCTTTACTGTTTCATATCACCATTTGCATGAAAGATGCCTCAGTAGAAGAAACAGAAAAACTACAATCAGATAGTGGGGGGTAAAAAATGGCGTGGTCATCAATGGTAACAAATTCCAACTGCTCCAATATGGAATGAATAAAGAACTCAAAATAAGCATTGGATACAAAATGTTTTAACAAATTTTATTATACTGCATTAAGCTAAATTGCAGTACTGTATGACCCACATGGGTTTAGCACCTCCATTTAAACTAAATTTAAAAAACAACAAACAATAGCAACACTATATTGCATTAAATGATTGTTTTTACCATATTTTATTAAGACTATACCATCACAAGACATAGTATCAAGTCCTCATTTTGCTTCTTTGAGAGTAACAGGGAATATTTACTAATTCAAAATAAAAAAAAAAATATTACAGCAGTCACTGATAGCTATTAACATTAAAATCTGCAACAACTTGCTGAGTGTATATGATCTGAAAGTGACTTTTACTTTAGAGGTAATACAATATTTAAAATATCAATAATTATTAGTGGGTAATTTTGATCATATCTATGACCTAACAAAAATACTTAACAGTATACTATATACATAAACAATAACTAAACCCAGGAAATACATACCAAGTCTACATCAATGGCACTAACTTTTCCCTCGCTTTTGTACTTATGATCCAGATTATACAAAAAATCACCTGATGGAAGAAGATGAAATAACAAATATATTTATTATTTAACTGGCTAGTCCTACACAGTTGCATTGAAAAAAAGTTTACAAGAACTTCTTCGCGAAATTTTAAATTAAGAGGATTAAGTTACATCACAGCACATCTGTTAAACACTATATTTGTGGATCCATTCTTTACAGATATTTACAGGAACAGATAATTTTTTATTAGTATCCTACCACTGGGCTACAAAGTCATGATGATTACTTCATGTGAAATTTTAAAAATAAAAGCAATCCATTTAATGACATGGTCATCACACTTTCCATTTTTTTACGATATTCTTCATGTAGATTGGTTAGTTTTAACTAACATGATAATATGTACTTAAAAATACATGATAATACTTAAAAAAAAAAGCATCATAATGAAATTTCTTGTCAAAAAAATGTTGTAAACATTGTTTTGAAATATAATGCTATCAGCCAATAAAAAATACATGAAAATGCTTACCAAGATTTATGGATGAAATCAGTTGATTCTGAAGGCGTTTATTCCACGCTTCATCACAGCGATAACTGGCAGAGAGAAAAGTGCGACCATCTGAAAACAGACAAATTACGCTTCAGGGAATCTTGCTCAATTGACACTTGCTTAGTTCATCTGACATTATTATTATAATCACAACGAAGTGCTAAACCCAAAAGGGTAATACAGCACGTTCATCTTCGGGACCACATTTGGACCCACACATTAAAAAATATTTCATAAGGATATAAAATGACGATGGTGGGGGATTTCATATAACGTTTTGGCCTGTGCTCCCCTTTCCTTGGATTAAACCCTAAATTTCCCTCCCTTTTCCCCCTGGCTTTGTATAACCCCTACAGTTTAGTGCTCCCATGAATGTAATTTTAAATTAATAATTAAATAATAATTTATTAAATATTAATGTGCATTAGTGATAAATGTGTGGGGGGAATCAAGGATGTATCATTGGGGTAGTGTCAGAGATGACAGTTCAGATTTTTATCACTTTCATTTCTGAAAAAGCGCAAATCGTCAGTCATACAAATTTTGGGGAAAAGGGGAGGCGTTTGGGTTCAATCCGGGGAAACGGAATTATTTTATTACATGAAAGGGAGCGCTAAACCCTGGGATCATACAGTCCTGGGGAATGGGGCATTTTTTTTTTGACCCAAGGATGGGGGATAGGCTCAATCCTTTGACTAAAGGAAGAAAAGATGAAGCAAACCGTGGCGAATATTTTATATGAAACCACCGCGTCTTGTATACATTTAAAATCTTTATTGCTATAAAAGGGTGTAGTCATTTCGACAAAATTTAAAAATTGCTGCAATGAACTATTTTTAATATGCCGGGAACTGGTCTTACAACCCTCATCCCATTGTTTTTTTGGGGGTTTTTAGAGACCCACAAGTGACGCCGTACTGAATTTTGGGTGCTGCGTTTTAAATTAATAAAAATAAAATAATTAAAAATAATAATAATAATAATAATAATAATAAAAATAATAATAATAAAATAAATAATAATAATAATAAAATTAATATAAAATAAAAATAAAAAAATAATAATTAATAATAATAAAAATATAATAAAAAATTAAATTTAATAATAAAAAAAATAATAAAATAAAATAATTAACAAAAATAAAATAATATAAATAAATCATGAACTTGGGGAAATGCTTACGAGTACAATTAATATGTGTTGTCAAAAATTACAATGTAAGATCGACACCATGCGAACCCTTTTGGGTAAGTGGGTGTTGACCCCGAGCTTGCAGCTCACAGCTGTCTTCCCTTTTGCCCCCTGGGCGGAGATGGCAGACCAAGAGGCCTAGCTTGTGGCTAGGCCTGGGGACATTTGGCCCCCAAAAAATGACGGGTTACTTGTGCCTCCTCCCATGGCGACTTGGGTCCTCAGACATCCAAGATGGGGGCCCAAGGCGGCCCCCACTTGGAAAAGGCCCGGGGCCAGGAAAATACCGGCAAATTTTTAAATAATAATAAAATAATAATACAATGAAAAAAAAATTTTATGGAGCCCCTCAGAGCTGGGGCGGGAGGACAGTAAAACTGGATTAAGGAAGTAGAACATTAGGATAGGGAACTAGCAGATCCATTTTAAAAGGGAAAATAAGTCACTCTTCAAATTTTTTGGGTTACCCGGGGGAATGTGTATGTATAGATAATGTTTTCAGAAACCGAAAGTTGAAAAATTTTGGCACATGTACAACATTGGGTTTGACATGTGTCGAAATTTATCAATTGCACTAATAGATAATCATACTTATGTGTACTATGCCTAAACAATTTTGCTTACTGAAAACCTGAGGGGATATCCCAAAAAACCCCTTATTGTTAATGAAAAAAATACCTGAAGTTTTGATGCCCTCCCCACATTTTGCATTAACTAGATAAATGAACTGTTTTTGGAAATACGGTAATTTATAGTAAATAGACCCCCTTAATTGTTTTTTTAAAGAAGTATTTTAAAGGGAAAATGGGAAATGGACTCGCCTGTCAGACGGGAAGACTGCCATCTTTTTTTTGAATTTTGTACAAACTTTTGGTGTAATGGGAAAAATTTTTTCGTGCTCAGAGGTTAAAATGTGTTGAACCTCTAAAATAGGAGGCAAAAATTGGTGGTGTGCTTTCCCACTAACTTGAGATATAAACGACGGGAAAGACAGCTCCAGGAACTCAAAAGCTCTCATTTTTGTTGTAATTCGGCCAGCATTATTTTCATGTTTAGTTAGATAAAGTTTTTGGTACAACACATTAATCTCCAGTAAATTTGGTGAGTGATATTAAGATAATTTTCTTTTGTTAGTAATTGTGAAAATTTCTATAATTTTCTTAATTTTTAATATCACCCCAAAAAAATTTTATATTTCCAGATTCCTGGTGTATTATATTTCTTTTAAATTTAAAAGGTCCAGAGCAACTTTTGGTTATGACAGTGGCGGGGTATCGAAGGGGGACTTTTTTTTCGCCTAGGTGTCCAAATTTCCTACTTGTTATGAAACGATAAATAAAATTATTTTTTTTTTCATTTCGAGGGTATTAAAATGAACATTCGCAAATGCAATTTTCCACATTTAATTTGCCCGTTGGTCCTTTTGAACTGGGGGGAATTAGGAAGTCATTAATTGGTTAATTACTTAATATTTATGTGAAATGACAAAGGAGGGCATTTTAAGTTCCCAAAAAATTTTTTTAATGTGTAGGGGTTTTTAAAATTTGTTACAATTTTAAATTTTGAAAGTCAAGTCTGGTAAGTTTTATTTTAATTTGTTAAAAATTTAATTTTGATAAGACATTCGGGCCCAAAGATTTATATCGTGTATGGTAATTGATAAGGCAAGGTTGCAAATTTATATTAATGTGAAAATTTTAATTTTGCTATGCCAAATTTGGCAAGGATTTTATATTAATTTGTTAAAAAATTTGATAAGCCAAGGTGGTAAGGTTTGTATTAAGAAATTTTTAAAATTTTATATAAATTTCTTACATGTGAAATTGCTAAGCTCAAGTGTAGCTAACATTATTAATGTGATTTAAAATTTATATTAATTTTTTTTCATGTAATTGCTAACTAATAGCTGGTTTTATTAAAAGGGAAAGTTGTACTATTTACCTTAAAAAGGTGCTAATTTAGTACATAATCAGTGTTTTAAGTTAAATTTAAACTTGCATCAGGGCTAAAAATGAGGAAATTAAATATAGAAGACAAACATATGGAATATAGAGTAAAGAAAGCATCATACGGGCAGGAAAGTTCTGAAACCCAAGGCATATAATAAGTGCTTGGAATAATGAATCAAAAAAACTGTGAATAATGATGATTTAAAATTTGTATTTAGTGCTTTAGGTAATAGAAAATTTTCAAAAAATTTAATTACAACAAACAAAAGGGAGATTTTTTAGAAAAAAAACTGTGTAGATGAGACTGAAGTAGACAGTATTATGAATTAGAGGAAAAGATTTTTCTTGTAAAAGTCGGGCCTTGAAAAAATTAAAATGTGTAAACCGGGGCAGTTAACAGTCTGCCCAACAAAAATTTCTTTGAAAAAACCCAGAATTATGTTTACCGTTTTTAAACCGGAAAAAAATTGGGAGGAATTTGGTCATTTTTAAAGCGTGTGCATGACAGGAGTGACCTACCCTGTGAAACAAAATTATTTTACCTCAAAGGACGGGAAAGGGGAGATGCTAATACCATCAACCCTTTTCCCCAATGTAGATGATTCTTACAGGAAAGCGTTGACTTATTGAAAGTCACTTATGATAAAAAAAAAGTGGGTTGGATTAGTGAAATCATTTTAATTTAAAATCCCAGATCACATTAAAAAATTTTTACAGCGTTTAGAGTTAAACTGGAGGCCTCCAAACTTTAAGTAATAAATATAATCTAAAGGAATCGACTGGTTATGGTGCCATAGTACGAAAAAATAAACTGAAAAAACATTTGAATGGGTCTCGAACAAATATCAAAGGGTTATTTTGGTTGGAGGAAAAAAACTAGGTCTACAAAAATTAATTGTGCAGTTGCAGACCACCAACTAATCTTTTTAAAGATGAACACTTATAACTCTGAGGATCTGTCAAATTTCAAAAAGGGAAAAATTACCCAATGTTAAAAATAAAATTCATTTCTAAAAAAGTTCTGGTGCATATCAAGTAGCAGGATTCAGAAATAATGATTCTCCATAGGAAAGAAGAATAATACCCTCCTAGAGTACCCAGAAATAAAAAACCCAGTCAGAGAAAAGAGAGATTGTCTTTTCTGCAAGGGTACTCATTTATCTAAGAATTGCAATGATACAATTCTGGAATTAAAGTTGAAAGGGGGGAATTTGACAGATGTATCAGTTTTTGGGGTAATCACAATGTAAAGGATTTTATGCCAAATTAAAACTTTTGTTATCAAGTCACAAAGGAAAACCTATAGTCATGTGTAAAGGCTTAGATAATTTTGATAATATGTAATTTTACATCCTGACACAACAGTGGCAATGAAAAATTTGCTGCTAAGTTAAAAATGAGGGTTTTTTACTGAAGTCCTTACCTGTGTTACAGGAAAAAACGATGATAAAAGGCATAAACTAAAAGTGTAAATGCATTATTGGCCGGGATCCAGCTATTTTTATAAAACGAAATGTCTTGATGGATGAAAGTACAGATGAAGATCCCACAATTTTAAAAAATTATCGGGTTTTCCCTAAATTAACAGGCTCAATTGTTGACACTTTTATGTAACTGTCGGGTTTGGGCAATGAGAAAAAACGTGTTAATGCAGTAATTTAGATAGACTTCCAGGAAAATATCTACATGGGCTTATAAAGCACAGAAAGATCTCACAAAATGTAAATTTACCCCTTCGGGTTTTAAAGGGTGATGATTCTGTAGGCCCAATAAATATTTTGTGGGTGTGACATTATGCCCCCTTTTGTAAAGGTTGGGAAAAGAAATTGGTGTCCCCCTTTGAAAACTGCAGGAGGCCATGTAAGTTGGGAGGGTTTTCCCGTAAAAATAATTCATGACTAGAGGAAACTACAAATACCATAAAAATGGTTTTACTCATGAAATCGTACCCCAGTAAATTTTTCCATAGAG